TATTGTATTTTGCTTTTTTATATGGCATAATAAAATTATCATTGCATAATAGTTTGAATGGATATTACTGTATTTAGTAATATGTTTTGACTTGAGTTTCATACAATTTTCATATTAGGTTAGCATTTGCTTAGTGTTTAAAGATTTAGAAATAATTTTCTTATTATTTCCAAATGAATAGAAATGTAAATTTTATGATTATTTTTGTTATTTCAACTCTAATTTGAATAATATTCTCCATTAATATGGAAATTTGTTTTGAAATAATTTTTGAGAAATTTAATTTATTTGCTTTTATAATAGAATTCTCATTATTCTTATTAAATAATTTATGACAACTTATTTGCATAAAACAAATCTTTAAATGTTTTTTGAAAAATATTTAGCATTTTCTTAAACAAATAGTAAACACTTTATGTTTGCATAAAACCACTGCGACAATTTAAATAAACATTTTTATCATTTTAATAATAATAATAATTTAATTTGAATATATTTAATTTATGCAACTAGGCCACAATTTTGGTTAGCCGGGTACTCGCACGAGACTTGTATGCGAATGTATGCAATTGGTAAGCCAAAACACTTTCCCATTAATTAGCATAGCAAAATGCCTAAATTACCTGGTTATTCATTTTGAATTATAATAAGATCTGAGAAGTGCTTTAATTGGCGTAAACTGTTTGTCTGCACCCCATGTCTGTCTCCTGTCTCTCTATTTACTACCCAATGAATTAGGAAACTTCTCGTGTCTGAGGGCTACCATCAAATTGAAGCGACAATTAGGTCTCTACATCGTCAAGAAGTACATCCCGAGCACATTGATTGTGGTCATGTCGTTCGTGGGCTTCTGGATACCGGTCACCGCATACCCGGCCAGAGTGGCGCTCGTAATACACATATTATACATGTTTTTAGTTATTACGCTATTTTTTAAACACATTTTTAATTATGTGTTCAATCATGTGTAGGATTAGCGCATTAATGGCTTATAAATTTATATTGTTTATAATTTATCTATCGGTGTCTGACATGTACTGACAGGTGATAACAGCCCTATTGGCGCTCATCACACAACAGCATCAGAGCGCTGAAGTGAACGTCTCATACGTGATTGCACTCAACGTTTGGATGATTATCTGCATTGCATTCGTGTTCTTCGCGCTCATAGAGTATGCCATCGCTATTGCCTATTGCGAGAGCTTTTACCGGCTCATCACCACCGATGACCAGCACCAACACCATAGCCGAGTATGTCATCAGTCATACCGTACCATACCCCCCCCCCCCCCCC